GTGAATTGTCTTGCCAACTGTATCAGAGGTCTGGAGATATGGGACTGGGAGTGCCTTTCAATATTGCCAGCTATTCACTGCTCACGTACATGATTGCCCATGTCACAGGTCTAAAGGTAGGCTATTTAATCATTTTACTTGATCTTGTCTGAGAAGTGAGGGACTAAAAGATAAGAGTCTTCATGTCATGTCCAAGAAATACTGCAAGGAACATACTGTTCAAAATCTTGCTGAAATATGTGTAAGAAAGGGCCCCATGAATTTAATGTGAATTGTCTCTGGTCCATGTGGGCAGTTGGGGTCAGCAATGTAAGAATTCTTAAATTCAGGTCAAAAGACAGAAGATCCTCCAGGTCTATTTAATTGAACATGTTAAAACTGACCTGTTCCACTAGCCTACCACTTAGAAATCTGAACTGAGCACTTGTCCTTATGGGATAATAACATAGAAGCAATTGAATTTTGTAGCATGTGTTTTTTTTATTGGAAGCAAACAGTAGCTCAGCGGTTGCTGTCAGGGTTCCAGTTTGGATATTCTGCCCACCTAACTTCCAGCTGTAATTCCAGCTGGCTATTTTTCTCATTTCCTACTGCAGTTGATTATGCAGAGTGGTAGTGTGTGCTCACAAAGCCACTGCCCTGACTCCAGAGCTGTAATTTGGCAGAGTAATTTAAATGCACCACAATCTTGTACAAGTGAAACCCTCTTTTCTTCACAGCATGTAAAAAAATTATACTAGCAAGGCCACTGGGGCCTGATCCTCCTGCTACCAGCAACACAAAGGGGAACTTAAAATAGGGAAGTAGGGAAGAATCAAACTTCACAGCAAGTGCAGACATACTTAAGAAATTAGGCCAAGTTACCAGAAAAAGTGAAGCTTAGCATCGTGTCCATAAAGCAGCTGTCGCCTCTCAGCCACTCCTCTCACAGCTTTGGTGGTTTTTTAGCACAACGTAGCCGAGGGCTGATCTGCGTTGGTCAGAGGCCAGTAAAATACCCAATAAACCTGACCGAGGTTACATTGGATTGCTCGGGGGCTGCCAAGTCACAGAACTTGCAAGCTTGCAAAACCCACCTGGATGCTTGATAAGCGCTTTGGGGTTTAGGCTGTGACTGACACCCCCGCTGCCACAAACTACGTTGTTTAGTAGTGGCTAAGGCAACTGGTTTGAAACCAGCTTTGGCGAGTCCTGCTTGAAGCAGAAGTAGAGCGGAAAAGCTGGGTGTCGCTGCCGCGACATCTTGGGGAGCAGACCAGCAGTGCTCCATTCACTTACTGAAGCTATTAGCAGGATTTCAAAGATAAATTTTTTGGTAAGCTAGTGGAAATTTCTTTATGTTTTTCATTAATTATGCATTAGTCTTGGAAAACAGTGTCGTTCAAAGCTTGCAAGGATATCTTGATAATCCAATCCAGTACAGAAGCTGCAATTCCACACTAGAAGGAACATGCTAAGTATCAATACTGTTAGCATTGTAATGTTTTGCTGTCTCGAAACCTGCCTGTTTGAAAACCACGTGTGTTCTCCTTTCTCTTCAGCCTGGAGAGTTCATACACACATTAGGAGATGCTCACATATATCTGAATCATGTGGAACCTCTAAAAGTTCAAGTACGTACTTACTCTGTACTCTTGTATCCTTTTATCTTCCACAATGCTTACCTGATACAAAATTATCTTGGTATTATAAATACCCCTTTTGCAAATACTAATTTGTGTAGCTTTTCTTGTCATTTCTACCCTGATAATTGCAGTACCTTTCGCAAACAGAAATACAATACAAACATGACCTAAACTGTTCTAGAACCAAGTCAGAGATGCAGAATCTGTACCCCTACTTTTGACGTCATCATTCCAAACCTTAGAAAACCATTCCACCTAATACAGATAAACACAAAATAAAATGTCTTTGTAGTGTATCAGAAAAGGATAACTTACCAGTTCCCAGAGGTAAGCAGTATTACCGTTTGGCTGAATAAGGCTATATTTTCTTCGGGAAGTAACTTGTTGCAGTAGGAGCAAATCAGGATTTTAATTAGACTTAGCTCCGACTGAATGTCCTCACCATTCGTATAGTTCAGAACTGTCGAGAGAACTAGTTATTGGTTCAGACCTGAATGTTCCTGTGAGCAACTGCAGCACGTGTGATGTACATCTGGGTCAGAATTTCCAATTTAGTTTCCTCTGGAAGGAATCCAGTCTATAACCACAGGAATTGCTCTGCAAACTGAAAATGCTTGCAGTGCATTTGGGTATTAGGGAACCCACTTCAAAATTATGCTACTGCTCCCTATCAAAATACTAAAGTAGATTCCACCTAACTGTGTTATAACTTTCCTTTTTTGAGTATAAATCTTCTTGGGGAGGAGGGAAAATCTGCATAGTGTAATCACGAATGAGATTTCATGAGATGTAATTTATAACACAAAATCTCTGCCTTCAAGTTTTAGCTTTATTCAATAAGCTTGCTTTTATTTCAGCTCCAGAGGGAGCCACGACCTTTCCCCAAACTCAGAATTCTCCGTAAGGTTGAAGACATCGGTGACTTTAAGGCAGAAGACTTTCAGATTGAAGATTATAATCCTCATCCACCAATTAAAATGGAGATGGCTGTTTAATGCTATAAACCAGCTTCTCTTGATGTGGAAATGTACCTAAGCCTCTTGGCTTTCTCTGTACTTAAAGTTTTTATATACTTCAAAAGATACGTACTTTATTGTTGAAAAAGAAGCGTTCTTGTAGACCAGTACTGCCTTCAGTACTGAACTGCA